GTTCCTTATCATTAACCTTGAAGGTAATAGGACTGTGATCCGAAGCCACCCTAGCAAGATGTCTAGTGGCAGCTGTAGGAAGTAATTTCAAGGCTGTAGAATTCAATAAACATATGTCAAGCCTCTCCCAAATCCTGGAATTCCCTTCCTTATTATTACACCAAGTATATCTTGGTCCAATAATACCCACATCATGAAAGTCACAGCTAGTCATGAAGTTCTTCATGTCTCTAGGTCCTTTGGTAAAAAGGAACCTTTTGCCGCCTCTTTTTTCATCTTTGTTAAGAACACAATTGAAGTCTCCGCCAATGATGGAAGGAATTGACCTTACCATACATTTATCCAGCAAGCTCCATAAAGTTTCACGCTCCTTGCAACATCTACTACCATATACGGTAGCAATTCTCCAAGATCCCAATATAGGAATAAATAAGTCTCTGACAATCACCTGAGAAGAAGTCTCAGTAATCACAAAGTTTCCAATCTTCAAATTCCATAAAACTAAAATGCCACCAGAAAGTCCAACTGAAGGGAAATGATAGAAATCCCATTCTTTACCAATAAGAACATCAACATCCATCCTATTGATATTACTTATCTTAGTTTCCATAAGGCTAATGAAAAAAAACATCCTGATCTTTAACCACTTCTTTCAAATACAGAGCAGCTTCCCTCTTTCTAGCTCCTCTGCATTTCCAAAATAAAAGGGAAGACATTTAAGTAACAGAAGGGGAACTTACCCCATTTGTGGACACCATACGTCCCTCTCTTTTTTTCTTCTTAATTTATTGATCAACCGGGCCCAATGATCTAAGCTCCTTGGCCAACTTTATTTTAGCAGAACATGCCAAGTTGGATTTACATTCATTCACAGCATTATCTTTCATTCCTTCCTTCCTCTTAATCAGCAAATTTATAGCATCATCCTGTAAGTCTTGACCTTCAATTTCATTATCTTCATTAAGAACCTCAAAAGCATTATTCAGAATTATTCCTTCTTTATAGTTTCCTGATTCGACTTCTTTGTTTGCATTTCCTTCTTTGTCTGCATTGGCTTCTCTAGTAGAGATTTCATTCATCTGTATATTCTGCACTTGCAAACCTTTTATCTGAATGTTCTTCCCCAGATTATCTTTCCCTTTATTCTTGATAGCATTGTCAGTTCTGTTTCCATCCAGATTTTTATAAACCCATCTATTTTTAAACTGGACATGAATCCAGGGACCATACTCCTCATTAGTCACTGCATTTTTAATTCCTCCTTCTGTTTTACTTTCTTCACCAATGCTTTCTTCAGAGTTACCCATAGCTTGATTCTTAATACCCAGCACAACCTTCTCAGGACATGCATTTAATTCATGTCTCGCTCGACCACAATGATAGCATAGTAAATTCAACTTCTCATATTCGACTCTTTGGAAGAATCTTCCAGCAAGACCATCAATCCAGACACCATTTGGGAGCTTTTTTTCCAAATCAATCTTGACACAGATGCGAGCAAACTCTCTCTTTCCCCAACGGAAAGTATTTCCATCTAAATATAGCGGTGTGCCAATCCGAGAAGTAATTCTCGCAAAACTGTCTTCATCCCAATAATACAGAGGTAGGCACGGTAGTCTGATCCATACCGGAGCTGAGATTCCTTTAAATGAATATGGATCAAATATCGGAGACCATCTATCCATACCAACTATGTACCCATTTACATACCAGGGTCCACCGTTTAAAACTTCATCAACCGCCTCATTAGTCTTGAAGGAGCAGAGTATCCAATTCATACCGATTGAGGTCATGCGAAATCCGCCAAACTTGTTCCATTATTTTCTCAGATCAAAACTGCATACTAAGTAGGGGACATTACCTCCTAATACTTTAATTACGATCGAATTCTTCAGCACTTCTGAATTCTTGGCTTCAACCACTGAATTGAGTTTCAGCGCAATACCATCCTCAAAAATTTCAACTTGTTCATTTTTGAAATCAATCTTAATAGGCTTTGGCTTCGACCAGGCTCCAATTACCTCTCCAACATCGTTTTGTTCTTTGCCCTTTAAGGATTCACTCAAAAGATCCTTATCAGATATGTTAGATGATCCCGAAATTCCTTCAATCATAGGGTTGAGATTACCATTGTCCTGAACATGACGAGATTGATTTATCCCAGAAAAAGAATTAACCTTCAAGACGGTATTCTTTATCTCTGATGATTCAAGATTGTTTAGAGCACAATTCTTATCATTTCCAATAGTTTCCGCAGCTAACTAATCAGCAAAATTTTCATTCAAGATCTTCTTACCTTTCCGTTCTATCACTATTGGACGGATCATAGATCGCGATCCTTCTCTGATCACCACACCACTTCTCCCTCTTCCTCTGGGAGGACTGGAAGGATGCGGAGCTACCATGACGTCGGCAGAGGATGCCAAGAAGCTACCGGCGACAGCGCCACCAGTCGGAGAAAAAAACCCCGGGAGAGACAAATTCAAATTGAAATATGGTTTCTCTCTCTAGAAATCCAGACTCTCTCTCTCTAGAAATCCGGCAAGACAGTTTCACCTTCTTTCCAGAAACCTAGTGTCAAAAGAGATTTAAGTTAAATGGTCAATTTTATTAGAAAAATAGGATTCAATTCTCAAAGGTTGAGGTCTTATAGCCCGAGCTTGCTTCATAACCTAAGTCTAAATTGGGTACTGAAAATCAATGACCCGAACCTAACTAGTACAATGTAGATCTCGACTTCCCCCGGCTTGGATTGGGGAGCCAGCTAAACCACCTAAGCGCTTCAAAATCATGAGTTCGGTCATTTAATGTTTAATGGTACGTAGGGACATTATTTAAGATATGTTTTTGAGAATAGGGCCGACGTCTAGAGTAGACCTTAATTTAGCCCTTTGACTTATGTTGGGTGTTTAATGTCTAAATAAATAAAAATAAAGTTTAGACTATTTTAAATTTATATCTAATATAATGCATGCTAATGACTCGATTAAATGCTTCAATTTAAAATGGATAAGTTTTAAAATCAGTATTAAAAAATAGGTTTTATTCTAGAAGAATGTATATATTCCCTTTGACATATCTGCACCCTCATAGGCCAGGTGGTCTGCCAAAACTCGTAGGTGGGAAGGTGCCTAGCAAAAGGAAAGAAAAATGTAACAAGTATGCATGAGAACTCCCGAAGGTCCCGGGCTTACTTCTTAAATTTTTTAGAGTTATTATGTTATCTTATAAGTTTTAATTTTGTTTAAGTAGAAATAGTTTGAAACGAGTCCTTATGAGCCTATGATCGAATTCCATGCTAAAATAAATACGACATGCAAGTAAAAAAAACTAGAAAAATAGGTTATTCTACTGCACAATTAATTAAATAAATCAATCAAATTAAATGCTCAAATTGAATGTTCATGTTGCAAGTGCCACTTAATATTATAAATCAGGGTCTGTGGAAAAGGAAAGTGGTCGTGCAACACTAATAACAACCCGGATTCTACTCCTAAGACTCAAGTGACTTTGAGATTTGGGATTCTTCTCAATCTTCACTTCTTCATCCTTCTACAGCTCCTTGGATCATCGAGTTTGGGTATCTAAATGAAAAGAAACTTCCCCTTAGATAGGGTGTTACCTTTCCTCTTTGGATATTTTAAAATTATCCTAATTTGGATATCTAAATGGAGAGGGACTCTCCCCTAAGGGATGTCCCTTCCTCTTTGGATTTCAAATTGGATGTCTAATCCCATTCTGAATGCACTTTAAATTATTAGAACTCAACTCTTAAATTAAATTACATCAAATGAAATTGAAAATCTAGACTCAACACCTGTAAGGTTATCCTAAGCAATTAATATTTAAAACATCCCAATAAATTATAATAAATCTCAAGCAATTAATATTTAAAATTAAAAGGTAAAATTAATCACAACACATAGTGAAGTAAATAAAAAAACAATCAATTAATTCTAAGCTAGCAACTAGCATGCAGTAAAAATCACGAAAAATACGGCACACAACTGTAGAAAAGTAATCACTGGCCTAGACTAAAACTAGAGTTAGTTGTCCTAGCAAATTATTTAAAGTGTGTAAAAGGTTATGTGGGTTTGATATGTCCGATGTAGGATATTTAATTGAAGTTTCTTAAGGTTCTGGTTGGTTAAAAGGCCTAAGGGAATATTTAAGTTTGAGTTTTAGTATTAATGGTTTAAAGTTGATTTTAAAATATGTTTTAAGGAGTTATTGGTTACCACATTTGTTGATCACCGAGGCCGTGAAGTTAATTTCAACTTCATTGGGGCTAATTTAATAGCCTCTTAGGCCTAAGTTACCTAGTGGTACATGATAGAACTAAGTGATTTAATTTAATTAAGGTTTAAAAGTTAATAAATTTTAATTAAAATTGGTTGATTGTTGGTTTTAAACTTGATTAAAGATTTCTAGAGTTTTAAAGTGATTTTTAAATTTTAAGATTTTTTGGATTATTTTAATCATTTAATTAAGGGGTTAAAATTGACTTTTTAATTAAAGTTGAATTCTAGAAAGTTAACATTTTTATAAAGTATTGGACCTTAAGATGAGTTGTTGGACATTAAGTTTGCTGTATTTGGATTTTTCAACATTTAGTTATGAAGGTTAGAAGTTTTGATTTGATTTTGACTTAAGTTCGACCAAAAATTGACTTTTTCACATTTGAATGATATTTGAAAATTTGATATTTTTGACAAATAATAGATTTTATTATGAGTTAAATTCCTTTGAGTTTGTTCAATTTAGATTTTTTTGGAATTAGTTATGCTTTTTCAAAGTTTGACAATAATTTGAAATTTCAAAATTGTTTAATTAAGGGTCTTTTTATGATTTGAGTCCAAATGAACTCCAAACTCCTTTAAATGAACTCCAAAGGCAAGGAATTACCTACGGAGAGATTTTCAAGCATTTAGGAATTTTTTGGAATTTTTATTATTATTAATTAATTAAAAATTTAATTTCACTTAAAATTAAATTAAGTTTAGATTTGCTATCAACTCAAAGTGATTTTATTTTTATTAAATTAAGGTTTCAATTCTAGTCAGTTAGATGTATTAATTATATTTTTTTGGATTTAAATTTGATTTATTAAAATTTTTGAAAGTTTTAAGGGCTTAATAAAGGGTTTAAGCTTAAGTTGATTGATTGAGGGGTTTAGTGATTTTCAAAATTGCTGGAAATTTTTTTATGGGCTGGAGATATCAGTATATTTAAGTTTTCAAAGTTTTAAGTCAAAAAGATGTGTATCCTAATTATTAGAATTTATTTAAGTTTTTTAAATATGTCCTTAATTATTATCATTAATGGTGTCACTAGGTTATGTAGGTTTGAATCAAAGTTTCTAACCCTTGACCAACATATACATGCATAAACACAATCACAATCAAATATTAAATCTAAGAGAGCCTAAGCTAAGTGGTTTGTGCTTTCAAAGCATGCAAAGATTGACATAAAACATGTAATTAAAGATTAGATAAATGAAATCTAAAATCTAAGGCGAAATGATCTTTTGTGTTTCTCCTGCTCCAGTTCAGCTTGGGTGTTCAGCTAGAGCTTTGCCCTAGCTGCGTCTCCGCCTCTGCAGATGCCGGGTATTTTATTTATCCTTCTCTTTGTTGAGTTTTGCGTGGTCTTCTCGGTCCATAGTCTCGTATAGCGCCGAATTGCTTGTTAGATCCTGGTTTCTTGTCTGGTTCCAACTTTTCGCGCTCGTTTATTGAAGCGTTATCTGGATCTTTGTCGGATGTGTGTTTTTTGGAGCTTAAGGCCTCTTCCTTCCGTGGTTTGCCTTCCCTGTGGATTTCTGAGGCTAAGATCCTTGTGCTTGCTGCACTGTTCCGTTCTTCGCTAGTCAGTTGTTTCCCGTCCCGAAGGCCTAGCCTCGACTCCATTCAAATTTTTTTTTTTAACTTGAAGCTTAATGGAAATTTTTCAGTTATGTGCTAGATTCATCTCACATTTTGATTAAGCTGTTGAACAATCTAGATTATAGCAAGGTTTTTAGTCATCGATTTTACCTTGTGTATAATTGTTATATGAAATTAACTAAGTTGTCACCTTCTTTGTGAAAGTTCGTTCGGGATGTTAAGCCCTATGAACTTAGTCCCAAGCTAACCAAGAGGGGGGGGGTGAATTGGTATTTTAAAAAAATTCTTAAGACAAAGAAATAAATTCTCAAACAAAATCACACCACAAAAAAACAGAATGCGGAATTTAAAAGTGCGGAAGCAAAAATAAGAACACAAGATTTATAGTGGTTCGGTCGACTAGACCTACGTCCACTCCTTGGAGGCACCCTCCAAGTATTGCACTACCAAACGTGACTCTCCTTTAGCCCCCACAGCTAGGCGGAGAAGCCCTCACAAGAAACTCCTTTTTGCCACCCCGGCAAGGCAGAGAACCTACCTCCTTTTGCTTCCTCCTGAAGCTGGCAGAGAACCACAACCAAAAGCAAAACTCCTTACCTCTACCGACCCTTCCACGGACGAGAAACTCCAGACGAAAGACATTATATTTTTTTGGATTTAAATTTGATTTATTAAAATTTTTGAAAGTTTTAAGGGCTTAATAAAGGGTTTAAGCTTAAGTTGATTGATTGAGGGGTTTAGTGATTTTCAAAATTGCTGGAAATTTTTTTATGGGCTGGAGATATCAGTATATTTAAGTTTTCAAAGTTTTAAGTCAAAAAGATGTGTATCCTAATTATTAGAATTTATTTAAGTTTTTTAAATATGTCCTTAATTATTATCATTAATGGTGTCACTAGGTTATGTAG